CGATGCTCGTGCTGGTGGAGTTGCGGAGTCAACGGTGAGCGTGTTCGGGGATCTTAACGAGACGCGATATCTCGATCCCGGATAAATCGATTGCTACCCGCTGATACGGCGGGTAGTGAAGATGTATCCTGAGTGAGAGTGGGGGAGAGCAACTGACGGAGGGAAGGAGCGGGGTGGGGTCTTGGAGAAGGGGCGGGGAAAGGGTGTTTGATTTTGTTCTGTCATTAAATTGGCAACCCTACCCCAAACCCATAGCAGAAAACCTCCCTCTCTAAAGGAAGCATATATCCTGGTATTTTTCTGGATAGTGCCAGTTTGTCATATGCAGTCCTAATGGTCCAAGATGTTCTTTGGGGCAGCTATAACATCTCCTTTTTTCATTTCATTAATCAAAATCCAAAGTGTTCAAGAGTATTGCTATACTAAGTAAAATTTGTTGTTTTAGGAACAAACAGTCTAATGGAATGAATGTTCAGTACGATAAACGTTTGGAGTGAAGAAAAAAATCAAACGAGTGCAGACACTCTCAGAGCTGTTGTTTTGTTTGAGATGAATATGAGTGGCACTTGTTCCAAGTTTCATGATGAACTCATTCCGATACAACGTTAATAGGGGAAAAAAAACCCTCCTCTCCAAGAACTATACCCAGGTCTCTGCTGACTTCTTTTTTTTTTTTTTTTTTTACATTTTATACCAGCATACTTTTTTTTTTTTAAAAAGAGCACACTTGTCTTTGGTATAAGTATTTTCGATCCCTAAAAAATGTTGCCACAAAAGAGTCTCAGCTCGTGAACTTAAAAATATGGTCCCTTATCTTTATCCCTACCTTCCAGTTTGAGAGGATTACCTAGAGGTGAATGGAAAGCTAAAAGTGGGCCCAACTGATCAAAAATGGTGGGGCCACAAATTCACTCACAGATACTTAGGAGTGGGAGGCACACCAGCAAAATGCAGGGACCTTTCTGAAAATGAGGAGTACATAAACCACTGGGGTCACCACAGTCCTGTGCTATTCAGCAGCAGTAGGAACAACCTCACCACTGTTTTTAAATTAAAGACCCAAATCTGACCATACAAATTTTTGGTGACACATATTCTCTGTCAGTTTATCAATAATCTGATTGCCATAGAAGACTATGAGAGAGAACCCTGGCAGCCAGAGATTAATATCTACTATGTATGTAAAGGGTTTATTGAATTTATGAAGTCTCTGCCCTCAGCTGGTGAAGGGATGTTAATAACTGTGATGAAATATAAATTCTGACTGTTTTTACACAGAACAATTTGGCAGATGCGGTGACATTGGATGGTGGCACCATTTATCAAGCTGGAAAGGAACATAATCTGAAACCTGTGGTTGGAGAAGTATATGATCAAGGTATATATACACAAAAGAATTAATAATGTTTACTGTGTAATCTCTGGGGTGAGGACTGTGTCTTCCTACCTGTTTATGCAGTGCCCAGAATATTTTGGGTGCTGCAGCAATGTAAATAATGATAATAAATTAAGGAAGGTCACAATGTGATCATATCTAAGGGAAAGGAAACCCTGTCCTTTCATCAAAGCAGAAACTATATTTTTTCCTAAAACAACCCATCGCCTCATTCTGAAGCTAGAGAGGAAAGGGAAATGCCCAGATATAGGATCCAGAGATGATAGAGCCTTTTCTCCTTTCAAGAGACCATTCTGACCAGTTACACAGAAAATCTCAGTTTATTCCTGAGAATTGGGTGAAATGTGTGGGGAGGAGGGCTGGGTTTTTTTTTAGTCATTTTAGTTAATACATTATTTATTTGTCACTGTAGCGAGGCGGTGGGACACCCCACAGCCCCGCTGAGGGCCGAACCTCCCCTAATCCCAACGTGGGCGGAGCCACCGGGTACGGCGCCTGACCCTCCGAGGTCACGGCCCCAACCCGGAAGTATAAAAGCTCGCCTGCAGAGCTCAGTGGAGCCCAGGCCGGCGGAGAGCGCAGACGTCCGTGGCCGAGCTCCCGCTTGGGAAACAGCCACAGGCCGCGACCGGCCTGCTGAGTCACCGGGCCGGTCGAGCCTACCTCTTGCCAGGTACCCCGAGGAGGACTGGCCAAGCCTGCCCCGGGCCAGTTACCCCGAGGAGGACTGGCCGAGCCTGCCCCGTGCCAGTTACCCCGAGGAGGACTGGCCGAGCCTG